AAACCCCACTTATACACATATATAATATCATATAATATATATATATATATAAAATAACCCCGCCATCTTTGTCGCATGACCCCCCAATATATATGAACATGAAATCCATGCATGCCTTGCCTCATCAACTGCTTCACCATTAAGCAACCAATTCAGAAATCTTCTTCGCTTTTCTACTTCTTTATTCTTTAGATTTTTGCTGTCTTTCCGCGTTGATATCCCCGACTAGAGATTTTCCCCCGAGCCAGAAAAGAGAAAAAGCATATAAATTTTCTCCCCGGACCAGAGATTTTCCCCCGACCAGAGATTTTCTCCCTCACTCCTCCTGTACTCTTTTCTTTCTCTTCTTCTTCTCGTACAAAATCCCTCTGGCTTTCGCTTGAGAATCTCTCACTTCCTTCAAATAAATCCTCACCGCACGTTCTCCAAACGGGTTCCTTTCCGGGTTCCCGCCGTTCTCCTCAAAAGCCGCGCGTAGCCGTCCGACCAGCGCGTCCAGACTCCCCCACGCCTGTTTCATCGGACAAGAACACGCCGCTGGAGGATCAATTTCGCCGAAGTACGGACACGTCTCGACATGAACCTTTGTTTTCCCGAACTGGTCTAGGTATTTCATGAACTCCAGCACGTTAGCTCCGCTGCAACGCGACAGTGAAAGTGGCGGCCGGTGGTTCCTCAGGTACTGAATGAACGTGATCCAGTCGCGTCGTTTCTGGGACTCGTAACGACTCAGTGACGCAATCGCCGGCGATGATGAGATCAGTGAGAACATAGGGTAGTCACTCTGTGGAACCCCGTATGGCGGTGAGAACATAGAGTAGCCACTCTCTGGAACTCCGTATCCCGGCGCCGGCGGTAGAGAACTGGTTCCGTTTGCTCTGCTTTTCACGGCTGCTGCGGCGGCGGCAGCCACGGCGGCGGACATGGCTGAATTTTTTTAAAATTTGTCAATCGGGGGTGGACAACGATTTCTTTGCGGTTTTTCCTCTAATTAGTAATCAGATTTTCCTGTTAAGATCGAGAAGAAAACAAAGAGGTAGAAGACAGAGAGAAGCAGAAATGATATTTTGATTTGGCGGCGGAGATTTAAAGATCCAATAGTAATGGAATTGAAAAGAAACCCAGAAAAAAGAAAGCCAGAAAAAAAAAAGGAACCCCAGAAAAGGAAATCCGGAAAGGAGAAAAGATGGATGTGAGTGGAGAAAAGATGTGGGAGAGTTGGTGTGAATTTATAGTGTAAATGGGGACGCGATGAGAGCGTGTTACGTCTTGAGGAAGAAGAAGACGTGTGAAGAAGGAGACAAAAAAGGGTCCCATGCAGGTCTGGCAAAGTGATGGCGAGTTTGAATACCCTTTCAGGACGTCACTTCAACAATTTTCATCTTTCCTTTTTAAAAAAAAAAATATATATATATATATATATATATAATTTTCATTTTTGTTTTTGTTCTTTCTTTTTTAATTAAAATATTTTAAAAATTAAAAGTTAGAAATTTAAAATTATATAATAATTTAATTTTCAAAATTTTAATTTTGTTTTCAGACAATAATTCTTAATAAAATGATATCAATATTTTAAATTAAATTTTACGAAAGCTAAATTTGTATAATTATCCTAAAATGAGACTAAAATTCATAACTTTTCTTTTAATGATGTCTTTTT